TCGTGTGAACATCATTGCTGATTTTTTCACTTTGCAGAAACTCTGTAACGCTGATTGCCACCGAACCGCTGTTTCGGTGGAGTGGTCGCGAAATCTGCCGTCTGTTGATTTAATACTTTAGACAAATATTGCTGCCCATAATCTACCTTTTTTAATGACAAGCATCTTGAAAAGCGGAGGTTCAATTTAACTAGTACTAGACTAAATTCATTTAAATGGTAGTAATTAAAGTGTGGATGGCTTGCGCATTGGCTGCCACGCTGGCGTCGTACAAGCTCCATGATTCACTGTATAATGAGACTTTAAGCAGCTTCTTCAGGATTGACGGAAAATCCGCTGGAAGCTGGAAATTCGAAACTCGTCGAGGTTTTTACTGAAAGAATTTATTTTTGCGTCGAGCCCGAAGTACTTTCTTCGAATCTGGATAAAGTTTGTTTGACCAATAAGGTCTTCGGTTTTCAGAATCGGGTTTTCAGAAATTTGCCTATAATTCTGGCCGCCGTCAATGTTGGGAGAATTGAAGATTATGCTCAGTTTCTTGTGAAATTTGATGTTACTTATGCAGAAAAATTAAACCCGATTCTATTCGTTTACTAGCATACTTCTAGTTATTAATACCGCCGATAAGAAATATAATTTTTGCAGTTTTTGATACCGGGTTGAAACAGCGTAAGCACCGTCTCATTGCTTCTAGTGGCACAGGGGGCCATTTAAGCAGGCCACGGCTCCACGGTATTTGTGCATGGATGCAAAACCGCATCACTAGGTAGGGTTGAACTAGGGCACGTTCAGGCACTTACAAATATGCCACGATCCGTAGGCATTTTTATACAGAAAAATTAAACCCGATCTTATGGGCTTACTAGCATACTGCTGGTTATTGATCCTTTTCAATTTTTGATACCGGTTTGAAGCGAATTATATATCTTTGCGGCAGTATCAATAACTAGCAGTATGCTAGTAAACCCATAAGATTGGCCATGGGGCCATGGCCTGCTTAGATGTTCCCCTAGGCCACTAGGAGCAAAGGGATGGTGCTTACGCCGTTTCAGTCCAGTGTCAAAATCTGAAAAGGGTTCATGTTACTTACATGCCATTTATGTAGTAACTCACGTTTCTTGCATAACTCACATGTAGTACCGTGAACACGAATACTATTAAACTGCAGGGATAGTTTTGTAAAATTGGAGGTTATTGTCTCCCTCCCTTGTCTTCAGGCAGGTCATAAATCATGAGTTTCTTTGCATAAACGCCATTCAACGGCAAATCATTCATATTAACTTGGCGCTCTGCTTCTCTGGCGACCAAACATTCGAGTCCATAAGTTTCACTACGCTTAATGGTCATCATCATCGACCTTTATCGGTCGCCTGCTTTGCGAAAGGATAGTCTGTGGCTCTTTATTTTCACCTATAATGATATTGAAAGCATGAGATGGCATATAAAAATGAAGGCGTCAGTAAAATGATTTAGCGATGCATATGAAAAAAAGGGTGCTGTGGTGTAAATCAATGAGACGTGTTCTAGAAGGCGGTCTCCTAACTGAACATATACCAGAACTGTTTCACTAAGACAGACGAACTCTCTGCAGGGCAGAACGATGTTCAGAAAAATGAGGATATCTCAGCTAAATAATTACTGACTGCGGTTTGACAGATCGTATTTGGTTGAGTACCATTTCTTAACAGCGTACGATTTTGTTAGGTCATTTTAACCGTAATTACGCTATGCGGTCTAAATATTGGCCGAAGGCTTTTAAGAAGCCAATCTTACAACAGTCACCACGATCTGGATCAAGCAGTAAATTTATTGTTCGTTGCTATTACGTGAGTTACCGCTATTTACAAAACGCACTCGCAACAACTGATGATGTTAACCGATATTTACATGTTGTACGACCAATTCGATTTCACTTGCAACGCTTTAACCCTGTTCAGAGATAAAAGAGTTGAACAGCTACAGCCATATCTCTGACGTTACTACTATCATTTTGAGGGTAATATTTTGGCTTGGAGGTTAATTTTTATTCTGAGTACGACAGTACTTTGTGCTGAAGAAAGGGTACACCATTGTGGGTTTCGAAAGCTTCACTTAATAAACATATTTTTCTAGGCTTCTCAAGTCTCGTTTTTATCTATTATCATTAAGAGCTAGGTCACATTAGGAGTTTTCAAACCGAGTTTGATATTGTCCTCAAAGTGAACCCTTGCGATATTTTTAGCTGGCCTGTCATCACTGTATTCATGTATTATCACAAAAGCTTTCACTCAATGGACAACCGATTGCAATCGCGAATTCTCCCTGGTTCTAATCGCCGAAAACGAATTGAGGAAGAAAACACATGCTATCGTAGTCGTTAAAGTTTTTAGTAGCGTCTCCATCGTCTCCTTGCGAGGGACAAAAATCATGACGTAACTGAATCTACCCCGAGACTGCAAAACAACAGCAAAAACTTATTTTTAGACCACGGTATATGTCCCTTTTGAAGAAAGGAAATACAGGGAAAGGCAACAGTTCCCCTTCCTTCTCCTTCGGTGAATAACCAAGGTTCTTCCATGTGCTTACACTTAGAAACTTTCGAACGCTAATAGGCAGTGAAAAACGCAACGTGAGGCAGTGAGCCTAGTGCTCAACCGACATTTCTAACTGTCCCTCACCACTCATCTCTAGCTATACCTCATAACTGACATACGTGTTAGCTAAATGGCGCTAATTTTCCTGTCCTTCAGTAATTCGCGTTTCAGACATTTCGCTGAACGGCAAAAGGCATAGGTGAGAAGGCGGCTTATAAACTGTTTCTGTTGAGTTTTTCAGTAATTGTTAATAACTTGCAAAAGCGAGTGTTCGCACCCTTGCCAGGTCATTATTTTTTCATCTTTCTGAGGTAGATAAACAAATGGTATGTCTCGTAACGGAAAACCGCGAAACCGCAAAGTTGAAAGAGTGCAATGCAGATGCAATCCGCAAGGGAGTGTATGGGAAATCGCTACAAATCCTGACGGTCAGAAATTGTTTGCGTTTGTTGCCCTTGCGTTTCATTTCTTATTTTTCGAATGGCTTCCTATAAACGGATAGTAAGAACTACTTTCTAAGATGAATACTGGTTATCTGGTGGTCAGCAGCTACTGGCGTGTACTGATGAGTAATATTCTAATCCTTGTCTTTGTTGAACAAACAACAATAGACATGAGAGTAAAATAAGGTGAACAACTTTCGTGGCGTGGATAATGACCAGGCATCGCATAGTCGAATCCTTGCTCGTAAAATAAGGATTTGACTCGCAGTTGAGAGTTCCTTAAGATAAAGCTTCGCAACTCATTTAAACAAGCCACTGGATTAGTAAAATTCTTAATGATATTAGTTATTACTGGCTCGAAAAGGAGAAGTAGAGGAGGAGAACATACGTTGGACACAAGCATCGACGTCACAAGATTAACACATTTCCGAAAACCCACTTTTAACGAGATTTACAGACTTCACTCCAGCTAAATAGGCCTCATCGCTCGTTTAAACGGCAGCCTACATTATACACTATTTCATCCTATCCTTCCGGATTTCATGGAATCGTGTGACATCGCTGTCCCCTCGTTTTATTTTATATGTCTGGTCTCAATACTTTCGTTGCCCTCCCCTTTACCTTCTTTTATTGATGATTTTTACAAATTGCCTTTCGTTCTCGTAATGCGGCTTAACTAGCATAATTAGCCGTTGAGTTGGGACAAAGTTTGGTATCGATTTCTGCAACATGCTTTTTGCACTCTTTGTTGCTTTCGCTGTTTTTTTTTCTGCCGGAAATCCAACACCGGAATTCGCCTACTGGAGTGCAGAAGCGACCAAAGAAAAGCACTTCCTATGCAGGAAGCTGGGTGACGTTTCTTCCATGACCGCTACGGTAGTTGGGAAAGTCTTTCTGAACTTCAAAAGAGGCAGTGTCTAACGAAGCGATGGTAAATGCCGACTAGTCGATTTCTACGTGTCTTGAAGCCAAAGTCACCCAAATTAAAAAATCCGGGCGGCAGGACTGACTGAGGGTCATCAACTGCATTTATCAGTTGGGAGAGCGCGACGAATTGTTGTTATCGTACTGTCGATTTGACAAACAGAAAATGAAGTGCAAACATTCATATGTAATTAGCCTAGTCTGTCAGATTGAGCTTCTTGCATGCAATTGAGATTTCTGAGTTGACGCCGCTAACTCAGCCGTTGCCAAGACCAAGCACGGATGAGAAAGGAGGATACTTGAGGACTGTGGTGAAGTCTCCCGTAAGTCTCTATCTGAGTCACCTGCTCCTCATCTTATTGACGTCATCGTGAGTGGCAAGGTCGTGCACATTCCGTTGCGGCAGGCGCCAACCCCTGGATATCTTGTTGTTTCGTTCTTACTCGTTCAGGATCTTACTGAATGTCAATGTTCCTTATGCAGGCTGTTGATGTATTCGGAATACCAGATGTGACCAAAGAGGCAGATAACAGATTTCTCTGGATAGAACAGTCGTCAAAAGCCAGCAATTTCCAGCGGCAGTTTCCAACAGTCGTCGCGCCCTCCTCCCAAGGTTCTAAAATCTCAAGCCCCGTCTCGTCTTCTCCTCATGCAGCTTCTCAACGGCACTTGCGTCATCCACTTACAGTAAACTTGGCTATATTCCACGGACGATGAGAACATCTTCGTTTGTTACCGTCTTGATCGTTCCGGGAGAATGTGGTCAACCTGATAGAAAGTCGCTTTCTCACTGCTTGTTTTGCTATTTTGTAATCGTTCCTTTGTTATGTCCAGATTTTGGCAACCTGTCGCATGTCTTTTGGTTCATCTGAGTAAATTTATCTGACGCTGGAACCTTTCTCTTTAAGAAACTGCTTTTAGATGCTAAGGTATCAGCTCGAGTTTCGTCGTTGTTTTACCTCAGTGCCAGCTTGCTGCGCATAACAGTGTACAATGCGTGAGGATCGACGCGTTTTGCCGCTGTTCAGCGATCGAAGGTTACATGTGTTCGACGTTGCGATTAACAGATCAGCGGTGACTGTCGTCCAGAACTGCCGGTCACTCGTTCGTGCCGGCCGCGGTCAGCTAGGAATGACCAATACTTCGACAAATGTTCTTGCGGTTTTGCTCCGTGTGACTTAGTCTTCGCAGAACCAACGCTTGCCTTTTCCTCCGGCTGAAGGTCATGACCTAAACCGAAGACCAATGTGACGCTGGTCACCACTGGATAACAGCCCGACCAGCCGACAGCAATCGTTTTTGCCGGTCACTGCGGCAGAGCCATTTGCAAGAGTTGCATCGGCTTCAACTGATGAACGTCGGCTGTAGGGTCTGGTCGTCATCGTCTGTCGATCGACATCTCATCTGATAACTGCGTTTTCATCGTCTAAATCCAAATCTGCTTTTTTCACCAAGTACACTGTTTACACTGCTGTCAAGACCTGCGATGATGAAATGTCTAGGCTTCAACTTCCGGATGCCATCTTTACACTTGATGGTGACGGCCGCTATTACATCACACGAAATGCCGGTTACTGCAGCCGCTATCTTAGCGTCCATCGCCTTGGTCATGTTCCAAAGCAAGCCATTCTCGACAGTGACCACAATAAACCGAAGGTCTGACCAGTTCAGCCGTCTAAAGATGAAAACTGAGGATGGACGCACTTTATCTGCTTAATTATCTCATGTCATGCCCTCTCAAGATTAGCGGAGGGTGGGGGTGCTACGGTCCCTCAGAATGACCCTTTTACGTAGAAGTTCACAGTCGTCTACATATAAACTTAAAGTTTCAGTGATCCGACAGTAGCCTGTGCTTTCACGTTTCACTGCCCTTTGGAAAAACCTGCTACATAACAGGATTTTCTGAAGTACCGACAGTGTGTCTCGACACTCATCTCTGTATCCGAAAATCGGTGCCGAGCAAAACGAGTATACCTCTAAGCGAGTCTGATAGAAATCTCTAAGAGGGATGGTCTGTTTTTCTGAAATGCGACAGATATTAAACAACAAGCCATCTGACGAGCAAAAAACTAGACAATTACTGATCATATCGGCATCCGCTCAGAAAGCAAGGAATATCAACTTGTTTCAAGAGGGATGAAAGGTCGCTGACTGATTCTGACAGAATCTTGTTAAGTCATATCCGTAATCTTGATGAGAGAAATGTGTGAATGATATTCTTTTCTTCTTATTATGTGATGCACCTATAGAAAATGGTCAGTGTCATCCACAGTTCTGAGGTTAGACAGCGGCAGGATAAAAAGATTACACGATACTTCTTTTACCGGATAATAGGGATGGTGGTTCTAACGCCCCCTCATTCTTCAAGTCTAGAGTTCTCTGTCGGAAACTTCTTCGTTTTGACAAATTATTTGTCATTCACAAAACAGTACCACTAAAGCTGATTATCAATGTCCGCTTGTTTATTAAGATCATCAGTTTGAGCCTTTTTCATAAACGCTTTGTGATATTCGATGTCTCCACAGCTTTTCAACGCTATCAGGCTCCAGTTACTGCATTGTAGAAGGAAATGCACCTCTCCCAAAGCAGATCTGTCTCTCTTTCGTTCCTCCTGGTTGAGAAAATCTGCCGTATTTTTATTCCCACCCAAGAAGCCCACAGGCTAAAGTTAATGCTGTATGCTCAATCAGCTTGACTCACTGGGCTAACAGTATTTTTCTTAATTTCCATATCTACTGAGATCACATGTGCCCAAAAAATGGAGTTATTGCGTGTGTGTTTATGCAATTTAGATGTACGACGAAGCAAACGCTGATGTACTCAATGCAGCCATTGTTTTGGCTCATTCTTTATTACAACTGTCTCCACGTCTTAACATCAACACTGACCTGACAGAGGCAAAGTATAGACAGATTTACGTGGGAAGAATAACCTCTTTCTGAGTCCAAATACTGAACATGATTCCAAAAGTACTCGACGCCAGGGTGAAACTCTTGTTTGACTCGAGCTTGATAGTGCTATCGCTGGAGATAGTTGAGCCTAGATACCTAAACTGGTGAAACCTCCTAAAAGCTTCATCTCCATATTCTGCTTGTAGATGAGCTGTGCTTGACGCGTCCCTCGAAACGTTTGACTTCCGGAAGAAGCAGTGATTCATACGGAAGCCGTAAGGTGACAGACCCCGTTTAGTCTATTACTTGCCATGACGATATCATCTGTATGCTCTAGGTCAGCAACATGCATAACCAGATTTCTTGAACTGTGCCTTCTCTGAAGAATGAGACCTTCGTCTTTGCTATGGTTAGCACTGTTTCAAGAAAATCAAGAACAATGTTGAATTGCTATGGCGAAAGTATTTCTTCCTAGCGACTTCGACTGTTAATCGAGAACCACTCACAAAGCTCTCCTTCCACTTACGACATCAGGCATATTTTCTGCATACAGCTCTTGCAAAATAGTAAATAGATTTGTTGAGGTACTGTAGCATTTCAAGATTTTCGACATCGTCTGGCCATGTAACGAATCAAATGTGGGCTTTGAAGCTGAGGAAACTTGTTAACGAAGGCAGTTGGAGTCATTGGCATTGTTCAATACGCAAAGTGAAAATTTTGGTAAGGATCGGAATGCCCTATACGAAAAACTGGTTAATTTTGGAGAAGTCGTCAATCAATCGCTTGCCTCAACCTTTCCGGTCTGGGAGAAATCTGGGAGAAAAGTTTCCAGGGAGTTGACAGTCGTTTGGTATTGCGATAATTGGAATACTCAATCACCCGACATCTTTCAAATTAAGGGACAGTTACTCAACACTTCCATTCTCATTGGAAACGTTTCTATGTCCACGCTTGGTAATACAGTTCATGGAGCTTTTCTAAAATTCCCATTACTCCATGTAAAATTAACTCAGGAGGGATTTGAACCAATCCGCAGGTCTTCTTCACTCTGAAGTGTAGCAGGACCTTTAGGATCAATATTTTTGTCGCTGTATCTCGACGACTTCTAGTGTAAGAAGAGAAATGATGAATCTAAAGTACAGATGTAGAGCAGCTGCTGGAAATGCTCAACCCGTCTTTTGAGGAGTTCCTTATGATCTGCCAATGGGACACCCTTGACATCTAGGATAAAGATAAACCGACTTCAATGTTTACAGGAAGACGGTGGCATCCCTTTGTGAAATATTCGCCAGTCATTTTTTCTGGCTGCTTTTTCGATCTTCCTGAATTCCTAAAGAGCTGCGCCACTTGCAGCTGATGAGTGTTTAATCTTCCACCAAGGGTCGTTCAGTGTGTGAGTGATTTGCTGAGTACGCTTACGAGGAAAAAGGGTCACGCCGATGATTAAGCTGTTTGTGGCGCCTGTCGTTGTCATTTACGCTATCCATTGAGTGACGGCCGAGTACTCCTGACTGTATGCTTTACTTGGCGACCACCTTAGTTGAGGTCGTTTGTGGCAATCGCACATGAGGTTTTGACGCGATAAAACGCTAACAGGCGGCTGCAGGCACTCATAGTGAACGTACTCTTTGTCGCTGTCATTCGGCACATTGATTGGACAATGACATTCGGCATCGCCTGTATGACATTCACGCAACAAACCAGGATTCTCTCCAGTGTCTGATCCACCAAAATTGCAGCCCAAGCTTATCCTGTGGGACAAGTGGATACCTACAAGAACTTACCTCTTATAGTGTTGACTGCCAGAACCACGGATTTCTTGGTTTCCAGTGGCTGGTAATTACAAGCAGAAACCGTGAGCTGCGCAGTTCATTTCCGCAATAGTAATAAATTCGCCATCGTTCACTAAGAAATCAACCTGGCAACTGCTAAGTTTGACCTTAGGGCCCTTCATTCTGCATTGCAATTCCTTGCATCGGTAGCTGCCCATTTTTCACATCCGAACGTCGAGATTAGATTTGCGAAATGCTCTGGCAATGAATCGATGGAAAAAATTAAAAATCGAAAACGGAGTAAGGATAATCGCAAATTTTGAGAGGCGTGGTGCCAGCAGAACTTCTTTAATCTGAACTTGAGAGAATATCCGTTGACATATGACTCATTGCTTCCACAAGTCTGAACAGGGAGACAGTCGAAATTATCGTCAAAATGAACCAAACCACGCTGTGTCCGGATTTCATTTTTAACATATGCCAAGGATATTTAAACACGTCGCGTTTTGCAAGACGATGACTTAAGACTTGACAAAATTTTCCCTATAATTCGAAGTTTGGCTGCAGGTACAGAAGCCATCGTCGATGATGGATTCTGTGCGGATAGCCAAAACGATGTCAGATTAAAACGAGAATGTCATTTAAATGTCTGATACCAGATTTACTAGGTGCAAGCGCATTGCCCCCTGCTTCTAGTAGCCTATCGGGACATTTGAACCAGATCATCACTTCGTAGTATTTTAGTTCCTGCAGTGCATTAGATGCAGGAGGACATCTCTGAGTTGAGCTGAACATCGGCGCGTCAGAAATGTGGTTCTGCATAAAGTCCACTGTACTTACTAAAATATCGTTGTGCTGTAGCCTCCCTAAATAGTCTCAAGGAGCAAGGGGGAGGGGTGCGTTTACGCCGAGCGAATGCGGGGTCAGAAATTTAGATGCTATGATCACCGATGGAATTGGAAAGCCAGTATGTGACAGCTGCCCCTCAACATGTTCGGGCTATGGTTTGTGTAAACGTGGGATTTCATATCATCATCTTCATCTTCCATCGCCGCTTCTCCTTTCGGGTCGCGGAGGCAGATGCGTCAGACAGTACTTCCAACGTTCCCGATCCTGCGCCAGAGTCTGAGCTTCGGCAAAAGACAACGGAATTTCATATCATATTTAAAACCACTATCTGAGGTGGAAAATTTTAAACTATCGTTTCATGAACATGCAACAACACTGGATGATCTTTAGAACGCGACGGTTCAATGAAATTCTTAAAGAGGAATGAGAATTAATGACCGGTCGGTCGGCAGGAACAGCCCTCCCTCGGAGTGGAGTGCATGCCAAGGCGAACTGGCTCATTGCTTGAATGGGGCTGTTACGTGGCTAATGGCAGCGAATTAACGGCAAGGAGGTCGTGGTTCTCACAATTGAGGTCGTCGACCCGATTAACGAGGATGACACAGAAGAAGAGGATACTCGAATCAAATCGGCGCATCAACTCCTTGCAGTGTTAAGACTCTAAAACCGAATTCCTTCTCGCTCTAATGCGTCAATCACAAAAAACCCTAACGAACGAGCGGTGTGAAAAGCGCTGATTCGCCAACGATTTTTAATTATCGCACAACAATGGCCTGGAATTAGGAAACTATACTGTCAGATGCAAAATCACAATGCTCTACTTTGGCGGAACCGCTTACAATTGAGTTTCGGCCCGATTAAGCCGTCTTGTTAGCCAATTTGTGAGTACCATCTTATCGGAAATTTTTTCCGGCTGCTTTGATTGGACATCGTTAAACGCTGCATCCTTTGCTTCAAGCAGGCGGCTCTCGGCTGTACCCGTAAAGTCACTTTTTTCCGTCATGGAGGATCGTTGTTCGCTTGGCGGTTTCGCGTTTCTCTCTGTACAGTAGCCAAGAGGCAGCCAGCAAAGACAGCGAAAAACTAAAATTACACAGTATGAAGGAAGCGTATTTGTCCTTGTCGCCGGCGAAGACGGCAACATGGCGTTGCACTTTTCCACTCTCCACTCAATCGATCAGTCAAAGCTATGTTAGCTGATGCAAGTCGCGTTTTTATCAACACTTAGAGAATTTTCTGCTATATGGAAGTGTGCAAAAGGTTTCAAAACACAGTTCAGATGTGCAGCGTATTTCATACCAAAGCAAGACCAGGTATTGTCACAGGTATTGTCGTGTCTCTTTGTCATCGTCACCTTTACATCCTTTCAAACCTGATGGCGGCTTAAGACTTCCGATCATCGCAGGCCAGGCATTTGACGTCTTTAAAGAAGTGGCTTGAAGAAACTAAACAAAAAGTGCAACAGTCATAATGAATTCAAGTCACCATTCGATCTCCTCATTGAATAGACTCAAAGATTTGTGGCTTCCGAACAAGTGATATTTCGGGAATCTGCAATCAGTATTAGCGAGTGCTCAGGCAAACCTGAAACCTCAGTAAAAACAGAGCACGGAAGAAGATCATCATTGTTGTCCGTGATCAGTGTAAGGCAATAAAGATGTAAGTTTTCTTATCACACAGTTTGGCAAATCGGCTGTCTAGGTAGTCACAGAAAGCAAGAAGGATATATGAAAAACAGGGAAGTTCATTTTTCAGGAACAAGACGAAAACCAAACGGTGCAGTAAGGGCAAAATAAAGATTACCGGTGCCGCAGGTCGAATAGCTTCATCTGGCCGAAGGACCTAGAGAAAACAGATGGATTGGCATCCGTATTTTAAAGACATTACCCTGAGGACTTCGTGCCATGGCCTTTCCACCATGCCTATGTCTCACACGAATAGAGCGGCACAAGCAAAGTTTATGTGACTGTTCGAATTAGGTCGAATAACTGTGGAAACATACATCAGCAACGCAAACGTTTTCCATACAGTGAGCAATTCGAAGAGTGACCTCTTTTCTTTGACTCCGGGATATTAGTTATAAACCTACAATCCTTTCAATCAGATTTGTCTTCAGGCTATCTTTGCGAGAGACAGACCTATTTCATACACATTAACACATGTGCCTAATTATGTGTGCCATATTCTCGTTAGCTGAACGTTTCTACGTTTCTGGGTTCACGGGTAGCCTTCGAACTGTACGTATCAACCACCACGCATACAGCCCATACTTTGCCTTATTATGGCGATTCTGTATCTGATCGTTGACTGGTCTCGACGACGGTATGGCTGTTGAAAGAGATCATGTCGTAAACAACCTGAACAACTGATCAGAGTATTTTGATCTGCTTTTTTTGAGCAGAGAATTCGCCGCAACGTACTTAAAGTCAAGGGTCTGTAAGAACCTGGTGCGGAATAGTTCCTGCTATACTCATATCCAAGACTAGAAGATTTCATGAAAAGAAGGGAGCATAAATGTCCCTGTCATGAAAGCGTAAGAAGACCACTATTCTAAAGGTTACAAATTTTCCTTTCTTTCCTTTCCTAGAAAACTTACATTCAGTTTGTGATTAGCATGAAAGGAAACTCGCAAACTGTAACATTGTAAGATGCCGAGGTTGCTTAATAACCTGTGAAAAGTTTGTACGACAGGGGGACTAGGTGTAGTGATATCAAAAGTTATGAAGCTCACAGCTGTGCTGCTAGATATGTGCTTTGAAATCTTGCTTTTTAACTGAAGTGCCATTGTCAACAACAGCAACTATTTACTGATCGTTCTTCGTAATTGACGGTGTCAACATTTCCTGGTCTCGATGCCCAACCTCGTCTGTCTCACAATTTTTCACCACTATCATCCATACCACTCTTTTAGCTTACCTCCCCACTGAGCCGGTCGTCCAATTGGGTGCTTCCAGACCTGAGGGTACCAGTCCGTAACCGTTTGAGTCCATCGGTCATCAATCAGTCGTACGGCCTAGTCCGTTGTACTCACGTTTGAACTGCACGCAGGGGATTGGAGTTTGTGTTTCTAACAAGTATTTCCTTCGA